TAGGTTCAAACTGACTGTAAAGTTTTAGATGTCTATTTTACATTAATAAAATCTTGACAATTTTGTATTTTATTAATGCTGTCAAGACACATTCAGAATATATGCAGCTAATAATGAAAAACACTACAATATGAAAGGTTACTGTTCACTGATCCGTTTTCATAGTTTAAACAGTGATTACTGCAGTGATGTAGCTCAAAGTTGTGTTTTCAGTGCAACTGTCCACAGAGTCAGAGTTTATACTGTACCTAAAGAAGGACATAGATTTTTATTATTATTTTATTCTGTGCTGAGGATAAATCCACAAAGGTAACTGTCTATACATCGATGACTGATTGATTATAAAGCTCTAAGTTCATGTTTGGGTAAAAAATGAATAGCTTATCTGACCGGGATTTAAAAATTTTTAAAGATGCGTTTAAATATATGCTTTGATATCGACAGTATGAATGAGGAAATGAAAAAGTGTGTCACACAGCCGCCTTGGGCTCCGCAAGAGGGGAGGAGTCAGAGAAATTGACGGTTTTCCAACTTATCCTGTTAACCTTGTCAAAGTTACTGATCTACGGGTTATCTGTTCTCACTCTCTGAAACAGAAAACCTCAGTTTCCCTCATCACAGGCTGAACATAATCAGAATTTTCACTATCCCGCTTTCTGAACCGGGCCCAGGACAGACTCCTACCTCAACAGAAACATCCCATCCAGTGTCAGAGGTTGGTGGTGAGACAAGAGACTGTTAAGAAACAGGTTCCTCTTTACTCTAAGAAGTTATCATGCAGCTGTTTTAGGGAGGAATGGAGTGGAAACCAAGTTCCCCTTCGAGGGAACTCAAACTGCGTCGGTGACGACACAATGGGAACGCCTCTGGGCGTGGCAGGGCTGAACTATGAATGAAACTACTCCAAACCTATTGGTGTTGCTAGAACGGTAGCGTGTGATGGCGTAACCGGAGGCGTATATAAGCACGCCGGCACACAGGACACATTAGCTTCTTTCTATTCAGCAGGCACTCTAAGTATGTTTGGAAGCTCCACTATCGAGAAAGTTGTTGTCTTACCTGGAAGTCCTGACGAAGCAGTAGAGACCATGTCTGGTAATCAGTTCCGACAATGTGTTTTTCCATGCCCACGCTACATCGCGGCTGGGGAGACTCATGAGATGTGTGTTTCCTGTCTGGGGATGTCACATGCCCAGGGAGCTCTCGAGGGGGCTGCCTGCGGCCATGGCGAGGCCTGGTCCCTGAGGGTGCTGAGTTCTCGTGCGGCTCTCTTTCGGAAGACGGTCGGATGCGCTCTCCCTGTGGCCCAGGCCCCGCGTTTGCTGAGGCGTTGCGGCGGCTACGGTCATGGGGATCGCAGCGTGATATCTCCGAGGGCGTCAGGACGGCTGAGGCCTTTTTCCGGTGCTCGTCTGCTGACTCCGCCTCCTCTCTTCCCCGTTCGGGAGTTCAGCCCTGCCACGCCCAGAGCAATTCCCATAGTGTCGTCACCACGCAGTGTCTTGTTCCCCTTCTCGGGGAACAAGGGTTACATACGAAACCTGAGACGTTTCCTGAGAAGAAGAAAACTTTGTTTTTTTGCTGCAATATTAAGGACGAAAACAGTAAATAAAAAAATCTAATTTACATCATACTGGAATATCAGAAATACATCCTGACAGTCTTCAAATCACAACATTTTACCCTACCAAGCGATTCATCGGGGAAAAAAACACCTGGCAGATTAATGGACGGTAAAGAAACACCCCTTCCTCACTGTGCTAGTGGAATAGTGGGTATACATTTAGTTAGGTATATTTTATCACAGGTATTAAAGTAGATTTTAAGTGAATTAAAAAGTAGATTACATGAATAAAAATACAAGTCACTGACAATCGTTTACGTAATCAAAAATATTTTTTCAAAAAAGTAAAAATTATTGAAACAGACTGAATCAGATACACCTGATTCCTACCAAAATAACATGAATGTGTCTCAGAATATAAAGTTACTGTTGTCTATCCCTCAGTTTGTAGAGAAACTCAACACCACAGCTGTCAGGGCGTGAGGAGGAGGCTGGAGGAAACAGCTAGGCTCTGAGTAATGTTCACAACGAAGCAGCATGACTGAGTTGGTGGTGTTTAACGGAACTAATCTTTCCATACAATGGAAATAAGTTTTTCTAGCCTCTGTGTGGACCCCCATAATAAGGTTTAAAAAGCGTTTTTCCCGGCCAGTTATACTTCTGCTACGCATGCGCGGAAGTGGTGACGCATGCGTAGCAGAAGTATAACTGGCAGTAGAAGTAACACAGACCCTTACATCAATGGAACCACACGATTGGCTGAAATACATTTGCCGCTTTGGCTGTTAAAAGCAGACGATTGGCTTTCTAGCCGGAGGGGCGGGATAACTGCCATCTTTACCGTTAACGGCTTTCCTGATAGAGTTGTATTGAGGATGTGTATTCAAAATGGACAAGCAGTACAGTACAATCGGTGTATAGTATCACCAACACAATATTAGATAGATTGAACTACACTGTTCTTTCTTGTGGGTCAGGCCTGTGTTTTGATGAAATTAGGTAGAATCATTATTATGAGCAATGGAGGAGAAGATATTTCAAATTATTACATGAGAAAGATACTTTGAGTCAAGTCATGGCATTAAATAATATGATATAATGTCATCAGGTCGGCCTCCCAACAGACCACAAGAAAAACTAATTCACCACAGTGTTATACACTGTGTGCAAAATTGTATTTTAGGCAAGTTGTATTTTTGAGGATTAATTTTATTGTTGAACAAATACCGTGCTCTCAGTCAATCCAAAATGTTAATAAACCCTCTATCCTGAATATTTAAGAAAGCAAAAGTGAGGCTTTGGCTTTCTTAGGAGAATATATGTGTGCACAATTATTAGGCAACTCTTAGTGTGCAGAAGTATTACGCAGCAAAATGAAAATTTTCCCATCTCACTTTTTTTTTTAAATAAACGACAATTTATTTTAATCTGTTAAAGTGAGAATTACAGAAACAAACAACTCTTGTTTACAAATAAACATTTCTGACATTTAAAAAAAAAGATCAGTGACCAATATAGCCACCCTTCTTTTCAATAACACTTATAAGCCTTCCATTCATGGAGTCTGTCAGTTTCTTGATCTGTTGATGATCAACTTTTTGTGCAGCAGCCACCACAGCCTCCGATACACTGTTCAGAGAGGTGTACGGTTTTCCTTCACTGTAAATCTCCCGTTTAAGAAGGGCCCACAAGTATCTTCTAAAAACTGGCAGTAGGTTTGGGAGTTCATTTTGAGTCCATCTTCAACCCGATAAGGTCCAACTAGCTCATCTTTAATAATACCAGCCCATACCATTACCCCACCTCCACCTTGCTGTCGTCTGAGTCGAAGTGGAGCTCTGTGCCCATTACTGATCCAGCCACGGGCCCATCCATCTTGTCCGTCTAGAGTCACTCTCATCTCATCAGTCCATAAAACCTTTGAAAAATCTTTCTTCAGATATTTCCTGGCCCAGTCTTGACGTTTCAACTTATATTTCTTGTTCAGTGGTGGTCGGATTTCAGCCTTCCTTACCTTGGCCATGTCTCTGAGCACTGAACACCTTGTACTTCTGGGCACTCCAGGTAGGTTGCAGTTCTGGAATATGACAGCACTGGAGGATAATGGGTTCCTGGTCGCTTCACGTTTGATTCTTCTCAAATCTTTGGAAGTTAATTTGCGTTTTTTTTTCTCAACACGTTTCTTGCGACTCTGTTGAGGTTTGCTACAAAACGTTTGATGGTTCTGTGATCACGCCCCAATATCTTAGCAATTTCTAGAGTAATGCATCCCTCTGAAAGACTTTTTACAATTTTGACTTTTCTGAGTCAGTTAAATCTCTTTTTTGGCCCATTTTGCCTGAGGAAAAGAAGCTGCCTAATAATTATGCACACCTGATTTTTCTCCTTAAGCCACACCCTCCCTCATTACACAAAAACACATCACCTGAAATGCTTAAATCCAATAAGCATACAAGTTTATACAGCTTGGAGTTGGAAAAAATGCATAAAAATGATGATGTGGTCAAAATACTCACTTGCCTAATAATTCTGCACACAGTGTACAGTAAGAGCTCAATACAAAACACAGTTCAACTCCATCTCCTAGGAGTTAATCTTTCTATATCACAGTAAGCAAACAAAAAATACTCCGTTTGGGGTTCAATTCAAAAGTTGGCCACAAAAATAAAAAATAAAAGTGACGACTCTCGTGTTTAATAGACAAGCTTAATAATTCTCCGACAACACCAGGCTCACACCTCCCCCGCATCCTCCGATGCTCGTGAGCAGCGCAATGGCTGGGCAGGGGTCCGGTGGCGGTCTGCCAACTGGCCTCCCTCCAGACTCTCCGGCAGCGTCGAAGATGGGCCTGTACTGAAGGAACCGCTAACTCCTCTTCTAGTGACGGGAACAAGGGGGTTTGATAACCCAGGGAATACATGAACGGAGACATACGAATGGCGGCACAGATTTGGGAGTTGTGGGCATACTCGATCCAGGCGATGTAAGAACTCCAGGAGGTGGGCCTACGGTATGCTACACACCTGAGCACCGCCCCCAGGTCCTGGTTGACCTGCTCGGTCTGCCCGTTGGTCTGGGGATGATATGCCGTGGAGGCGGAAAACATGGTCTATGAGGAGGCGGGCAGTTTCCAGAGAGGTGGGGAGTTTGGGTAAGGGGACAAAGTGAGCGGACTTGGAGAAGCGGTCGACCACTGTGAGGATGATGTGTTTCCATTAGAACTGGGGAGGACGGTGACAAAATTCAGGGCGATATGGGACCAGGGGTGACCGGGGACCGGAAGGGGGCGGAGCACACCGGCGGGTGGCGAGCCGATACTTTTGGGCAAACGGGACAAGCAGACAGGAAATGGCCGGGCTTTCCACAATAGAAACACTCACCGGCGAGACGGCGCCGCTCGCGCTTTTCCGGGCAGAGGTGGGTGCGGCCTAACTGCATGGGCTCAGGAGGTGGTGAGGAAGAGAGCAGAGGTGTTGCTGGAAGTGCCTGCGGGACCGGTGGAGCAGTGGGGCGTGGCAGGGGGGACGGCGAGACAGCGGCCCGAGACGGTGAGAGGCGCGAGCGGGAGGTGGAGGAGCCGAGCAGCACAATCCCTCTTCCCCTCTCGCAAGCAATTGTCCAGGTCGGTGGCAGCCTCGACCAAAGCGTCTAGGTCCCCCGGTGCGTCCCTAATGACCAGTAGGTCTTTAATGCGATTATTGAGGCCGTCCAAGAAAACACACTGAGGGCCTCATTGTTCCAGCCCGAATCGGATGCCAGAATACGGAAGTCAACCGAATACTCCAACACACTCCGATCGCCCTGGCGGAGGGAGAGAAGGCGACCCGGTGACTCTCCTCGGTGACCTCCCCTGTCCATGGAGGTTTGCCCAATAGTTGGCTGCCAGCTGTTCCTTTCTTAATTGCAGAGGCATCTCACCCATTTCTACCTGCATTGCCACTGCTGGTGACATATGAAATGCTCCAGTGAATATTCTCAGCGCTTGTGTTTGTACAACATCCAACTTGGCCAATGTGGTTCTAGCTGCATCTCTGTATGCTATGCAACCATAATATATTACTGATTTAATCAGTGCATCATATATCTCCTTCAGTGCTTTTCTACTCACCCCCCAGTCCACTCCTGCCAAACACGTCATCACATTTAATACCTTTTTTTATTTAACTATAACTTTCTCATGCCATGTCAACCTAGTATCAAACACCATTCCCAAAAACCTAAAGGACTCAACCTTCTCAACCTTTTCCCTTAAAAACCTAAAACCCCATCTCAGTGACCACCGCCCTACTAGATCTATTGCTTCCTGGACCTTTCTAACTGTGTACTTTATGTTCCTTCCCCTTTTTCCACATGGCCCCATCATCAGCAAACAAAGATCTTCCAAACCCAGGCCCTACTTCTGAAAATACATCATTTATCATGATGGAGAAGAGCAACGGACTAATCACACTTCCCTGGGGGGTCCCATTTTCTATGAGGTAGCTGCCAGATATTTCTTTCCCAACTCTCACTCGTATAGATCGTCCATACAGGAAATCCTTCACCCAGTTAAAAGCCCTACCTCCTATTCCCAATTTATCCAGTTTTATCATCAGTCGCTCCTTCCAAATCATGTCATATGCTTTTTCAACATCAAAGAAGACTGCTACCACTGTTTCTTTATTAACCTGGGCTTTCCTTATCTCATCTTCCAGGCATAACACTGGATCCATTGTTCCCCTCCCCTTCCTGAATCCACTTTGACATAATGCAATTAATTCCCTCTTCTCCCAAAAATAAACATTTCTGTCCGTTATCATTCTTTTTATTACTTTACACACGAGATGTTAAAGCAATTGGCCTATAGCTTGTAGGTTTTGTCGGATCCTTCCCTGGTTTCCTAATTGGGACTACCACTGCTTCCTTCCAACTCTTTGGAAGCTGCCCATTTCATCTTCTCCTGGCGATGTCAAAACTGTTCTTGCAATTGCTCTCTCCATTTCTGCCTTAGAAAATGCATGCGCTTCCTCTCCTTCTACTTCTCCTTTAGTGTTTATTGACGGCTATCAAACCAGCTTAGAGGTGCATTACTGCCACCTACTGAACTGGAGTGTGGAGGAGAGATTCTGCAGGTTCTTTTAGAAAGATAATGTTAAAGATATTGCTTTATTAGTTGAGGTTCAGTTAGCATTCTTACTTACACACAATATATATAATCAATATATAATATACAGTAACAAAAACTAATAACCGTAATAATTATGTAGAGCCACTACTCTCACTAATACAACAGTCTGCATGTTCATGTAATAGAGAGCATTTTGAAAGACTGCTTGGGCTGCAAAGACTTTAACAGCCAGTGACAGTTACAGGTTTCAGGGCGTCACTTTGTGTTAAACAGTGGACATTTAAGGGATCAGATTAGAGTTGTGACTAAACACTTACAGGACGTGACAATCCAGAATACTGGGGTCATGAGAACAAGAGAAGATATTTAACTATTTAAAGAAATATTCATTGATGAAAATATACGCTTGGGGGTCTGGGGGTCCTCCCCAAAAATATTTTGAGCATTAAACCTTCCTACATTGTGGAGACATTTTCTGCTCCAGTTTATGGTGGAAATGTCTTTATTTATATAAAGGGAAACACAAAATTCAGGCAGCAGCTGACAAATCAGAATATAAACATTGAATGGAATAAAATGCAGTAAATCAGTAAATATTCAGTTTTGTTAGTTTAAATATAATTTTTTTGGACAATGCAGATATGTTTACATCTTTTCTTATTGTGCCAAAAACACTTTCTCATAGCACTCACATTTGTTATTTAACGTTTCTTGTTGCTATTTTTCACAACACTTTCAACAAATGTTTTCAAAAAGCTGTGGGGACATGTCCCCAGCATCCCCAGTGTAAATGACACCTATCCAGGTGGGGAGATAAGACTGATTTTCTAATGTTTAATGTTACTCACCATCTAACTCATTTAGCCATAGATGTTATGAATCTGGTTTTATCAGCTGGCAATTTTCAATGGATATCAAACAGTGCAAGTTGCAACTATTATTAAAAATAATGGAAAGCTGAGGCTCAGCACCAGAAATAACAGTGAACATGTGAGTAGTTCTATCATCAAAACTCATTCATTACAGAATATTATGAACAGTGAGGACCAGCGTCGGGCGAGTTACTCAGAAATTGTAATACATTACTAGTAACTTATTACTCCTTAAAAAAGTAATATTAGTATTAGTAATATTATTACTTTACTTATTACTGGGTGATAAAAGTAACTTCTTACGTTACTATATTACTTTCCAGTGTTTCCCACAGAATGACTTTGGACAGGTTCATACAGCAGTTTGTGCAGCAACACACACAGTATCCCGCATTCACTGATCCACCACACTAACATTAGTTAAGTTAACTAGTTCTAGTGTATATTATATGTGTATATACTGTATGTTTTGTTTGCTACGTAGCAGAAGGGAGTTACAAACCGAACTGTGTCCCAATGTGACAAATACACCTACTGTGTACCATGTACTTGGATAGACTTCCTGTAGAATAATGTAGACCCCGATCCAGTACACATCTACAGGGACTGAAGACCTCTCCTGAACTGCCAACACCACGCCAGCTGTTAAGACGGCCCAGCAGAGACTTAACTTCCTCTGGATCCTCAGGAAAATCAACGTTCAGGAGAAACCGCTGGTGTACTTCTCCAGAGTGTACTGACAGACTTTGGGGTACTCAACATTCCCGGTTCACCTCGCTGGCAAGTAGACTATTATGGCATCCAAAGACTTCAATGTTGCTCTCATCTGACCAGACTATATTCTCCCAGTCTTTCACATGATTGGCCAGGCAGCTGTTGTGAAGGACACATGTCCAGAGGAGATGTCTTGCTGAGGAATGAACAACATCAAGTTAAAGTCCTGCAGAGACACAGTTTAACTTTCCACAGACTTCATGGACATTTGATTTGGTTTGGTTTAAAGCTTTTGACCTTTCACCTCCTCCTTGGAGATCCCTGCCTGCTTCTTCCATTCCTTATAATACAGTCAGTCAGACGGTCAAGTTATGGAGCGCCATCTGAAACATTTGGTCCATATCTGACTCTAGAGTGAACTTTCTGCTGCCAGAGTTATTTCATTCATTCAGCAAGAAAACTTAGAAATTCACCTTTAACAGAAAGTAACTTAAAATACCTGACAAAATATAGAGAAATAGGAAAACAGTGGTCCATGGTTGTCCACAGGATCAAATCAAATTGCTAAGCAACAAGTCTGCATGCTGTTTCATGAAGAGTTAACAATAACTTGTAGTACATTTAGCTGACGCTTTTATCCAAAGCAACTTACAATTGCTATACATGTCAGAGGTCGCACGCCGACACAATGGTGGATGGGTCACAGAGGGGATTGAACCTGGATCTCTCACACCAAAGTCATGTGCCTTATAAATTACACCACCATAGTAAACGCTGGACTCAGTTCCATAGCTGACAGTACGACAGCAGAGCAAAGGCTATGAGCCCAATGCTAACATGCTACAGTAACATTCAGTCAGCGTCCAAACATGAAGAAGCTGGAAATGAGCTCTGGTAGCACACAATCAGTGGCAGCTGTTTCTCATCAGCTCACTTTGTACTCAGTCCAGAACCAGTAAAACCAGTGTAAAACACAAAGCATGCAGTAATATAAAACTTATAAAACATACGATCATAAGAACCAATAAAGCCCACATGAAATCTCTCTATCAATGATGTGTAAAAAAGCCCCCAGTTAGGATCAAGTTCTTCAAAGTGATTTCCAGGTCTCTCACTGTGACAGATTTTAACCTCTTTACCTCATGTTCCTCCGTTTTTGTTGGAACCAGTATGTATATAAGTTATCTCATATTTACTCTCGCCAATGCAATCAGAAACAATATGGATATATATATATATATATATATATATATATATATCAAGACGTGTACTAATGCAAGTGTAAGTCTGTCTGCAGAAATGTACTGACAGGAAGTCTACAGCAGATGGTGTGACTGAAGGAAATGACACACGGAGCGGACAACAACAACAACAAAATAACAGGAACCGAGTTGACTGAGGTTAATGTACATAGTTCCTGGAACAGTACTGTACAATAATATATGTCACATTTCATGTTGCTGCTGCACCCCCTTTCCCCTTAGAGCAGCAACATGCATGTAACTAGGGAACGCCCTGAATATAATAAAAAGAGAGGAAACGGAAGAGATAACTCAGAGCGGTTGGAGTTTGTAACTGAGTACATCTCTGTCCGTTCTCCTCGCGAGTAAAAAGCCATTAACTCTCTTGTCTTTCTTCCTTGTCTGATATTATAGGTGTCTGAACCTGACAGTTTTCCTCTCTCCAATGACTAGAATCAATACAAATCAAAGCTCCAATCAGATGAAATGTCTGTCTTGGAACAGTGTGGGAAATGAGCTTTAATCCACTTCTAAGGCATCGTAGAGATTGAATTTACTGATCAGTGATCAGCAGCAGGCTGAGAAGATTTAAGAAAGACAGCGAGTTCTTTTTG